TGCTGCCAATGTAAAGATTCTGTTAAAAAAAAAAAAAAGCACACGTGGCTTTCTTCTAAAATGTATGTATCTTAGAATATGTTTGATGGTGCATCACCCTTAACCCTTGCACTTGATTAATTAATTTGTTTTGTACAGTTTATCCTCATAGTATTTTTGCCCATGATTCCACATGCTAGGGTTGACTTATCAACTAGTTAAACACTAACCTTTTTTGTACTGCATTAGGTGTCGTGTTCATAGTTCATACTAGCCACTGCTGTATTTTTATTTTTATTTTTATTTTTATTTTTATTATTATTTTTTTTTTATCACACCCCAAAGCAAATGCAAATTTACAAGATAATGAAATGTCAATGATAGTATAGTCGAATAATCGTGGAAAATGATGCAAAATTCAATATTTTTGAAATGTAAAATGTCTAAATTTCCATTATATCCTGATTTAATTAAGAAATCAAGTCAAGGGGGGCTCTTTCGAGAAAGAGTCATGAATTACATTATTAGAAGAGGAAAAGCTAAGGAGCAGAGGAAGATTATTTTGATGAAGGAAAAGGGATGAATATTTGTCATCTCCCTCAAACAGTGCTGGACTAGTAGTAATTGGAGCTGGTTCTTGTTGCATCTGAATGCAAAGTATTTCTGCTTGAGCCGCAGCCAACTGCATTTGAAGCTGAGAAACCTGGTCTTGCAAGTAAGATATGGTGCCAACGCAACCGTACACTGGATCTCTAACTCGTGCGTTCGCCTCGTATACCAGACTACTCACTGCGTCCGCTCTTTGTTGTAATGGGAGTTCCTGATTTTCGCATAGAGCAAAAATATATGTTAGAATAAGACAATACTCCTACAAGTGTGTTTTAAGACATTGTCCTAAACACAACGGGACATGGTAAGTATAACACCACTTTTGGAATGGGATAACAGTGATAGTAAACGCACTTTAAGAATTTAACCTATGTTTCTTCAAATCTTTAATTTTGTCTAATATGTTTAGGTCTACTTACCAAACTTGTTATGTAAGGTATAAGAAAAATACATATATGTTAACCTTAATTCCAAAATCACCCCCCCCCCCCCTCCCCCAACCCAAACCCTACTCCACACAACCCAGCTCCACCAAAAGAAAGAACAAATGCAAGTTCATAAGGGGAGGGAGGGAGGGAGAGAGAGAGAGAGACCTGCAAAATCTTGCTGACATTGCTGGCACCAAAAACCTTGTGAACAATGGAAAATTTGTGAGGATCATCAGATGGAAAATAAGGAGCAAAAATGCAATCCTTGGCACATCGGCGTCGAAGCAGCTTGCATGAAGCACAGGGGGAATTTCCACCCATTTTTCCTGCAAAAGATCTTCAGGAAAAGCTTAAGAAAAGAGAGATTTTTCTCTATATATGTGCCAAAAATAAGTAGAACAGAAGTTTCTAGGTGTGGAGCTACACAGAATGGAAACAGACAGTGTATTTATAATAGGTGAGAACAAAAAGTGTGCAACATTTTTTATTAATTTAGGAAGTGGTGATAAGGTGAATAAACTAATAATTGTACACCGTTAATTTAATAAAACTATTTAAGTTGAAACGGCTCGAAATCATGTGATGACTGGACCGAACGTTATACAGTACATCAAAACAGAATTAGTACTCTGGATATATTAAAGTTGAAAATTGCTTCTTGTACATTAGAGTGTACACCCCTATCACATGAGAGGGGACTCACATTGATTAAAAAATACGTGAACCCCCTCGCATGTGAGGGGTCTGTAACACTAGTGTACATGTAGCATCCTTCATTAAAGTTTCCTGAGCAAATTTTTGTTGGGTTATATTTTATATAATTATTTTTTTACTAGCTCTAGCCAAGGATGCAAGTGCATCTGGAATTATTGACTGTTTATAGATGACTTTTTAAGTCCATTATTAAACTTTTGCTCAACCTTTTCTGTACAGAACGCACTCTCCTTTGTTAGATAGCTATGATTATTCAATATTAGAAGCCCTAGAGTAATAGTATTTTATCTAATGAATTAGCAATGTTTTTGGGAATAAGAGTCAATCTTGGTCGTAAAGTATATGTAGATGACTTTTTCAAAGCTCGGCACTCAACCGTTTTTTTTAAGTGTAAAATGCCGTTTACTCTATCCATAACATATTCGTTTTTAGTAGTTCTAGACAAAAGGATGCAAGTAGTTATTTAGATTTATTGTCTGTCAAGTAATTTAGATTTGTTTTTATGTAAACCGCCAAATTTTAAGGCTATCATCCTTATGGATATGAAATCGCAGCACTAAATCACAATGATTATTCATTTTTAGTAGCACTAGAAAAAGGTGCAATGCATTATCTAGAATTATTGGCCATAAAGTGTATGCATGTTTGTTAAGTAACCAAGTCTCAAGTATTGTCAAGATGATGAATAACAAAACTCAGGATAGTTGATTCTTTTTATTTTCTAAAAAAGATAAAAATAATTAAAAGTTGTGTTATTGTTATAAACTAGAGGGGAAAAGAGAGAGAGAGAGATATATGAGGAAAACCAATAAATCTATGTGTTTTATTAAATACCAAAACTCCGTATTTATAAAAAGAGTCAGGGTTACAAGGAATGTAACAGTCATAATGATTAGAGGTATAAAAGTCATTCATAAATAATACTATATTTGCAACACTTCCTCTTAAATCACTATTTACGCTATAACTATCTCATTAAAATACTATTTTTTAAAAATTCGATGGAAAAAATGCCAACGAAGGAAGGAAAAAAATTTTGGTACAAATAATTTGGAGTAATAAGATACTACCTCATTAAATCTTTTTCAAGAAAATCCTATGGAACAAAAATTTATTGAAAGAAAAAGAGTACAACTACTCCCCTCCCGAAATTCAATTCTTATATCAAGCGATTTATGTATTGTATGTCAATATCTTCAATATTACAATTTCTGATGAAATACATTCTATATTGTCTTGTATAGTTTTTAAATAACTCATTCTTTGTATGAGATATTTATCAACCTTTGATAATCGTAATAACATAATAATTCGAAAATTAGCTCTCATCAATCTTTTCGAAAATCTCATATATATTAGAGTATTATTTTGATGGTAAATGTCTTTTAAATTATGAACATTTATTCTACAAAGAATATGCCTCGTTAAAACCTTAATAGAAAAAATCTTGTGGAAAAAATCCTAATAATGGAATAAGAGTTCATTATTCTCTTAAGTAGGCCAGAAAAAGTTGTCTGGTTAAAAATCTTGTCAAGAGAACTCAATAAGACAAAATCTTGATCAAGAAAAAAGAGTACAATATGTATTTACTCCCCCCGTGATAATATCACTTGAATTATGCTTCATGCATTTTAAATCCTTTAAAAGATAGTACTAAGTCTTTATAAAATAAGTTGATTATAATCACATTTATTATATGCATAGTAAATTTCATGCATTATCGCGTTAACAAGGTTGAGACTTGTGATTACATCAACAACGTGATAACTTACTTATCTATACAAGTCTTCGTGAGATTCATTACGAAAAGAGTCGTCAATTTTATATTACAACTTTACTTTATCTATTTTCATTTCGCACAAGTATACACCTCTTGGTGTTTAGATTGTAGATCCAAAATGTTTTAGGTTTCTCACATAAATTCAATTTTATTATGATTATGTCAAGAAATTTTAAGTTTCTCTAGTAAATTCAATATTAGTATGATCGAGTCATTTTATATGGCCAATCATTACTTTGATAGATAAAGTACGACGAATTTATTTCGATTCTTTGCTATTCATAAATGATATAGTACATCATGTGCAAAAGTATTGTCGAGTACTTTTTCTTTTCGATTCTATTCTTTTCTATAATGACATAACTTATTGAAATATCTCAATTTTCAACATATCAGGTACATAAACCTCTTCCAATGTTTTATAGTTTATTATGTCTAAATACTCATCACGAGTATATGGCTCCTTAATAGAACTCTATGCTAATTGCCCCATTTTCATTTGGAGATTTTTATATTATAATCGAATACATCACGCTTCTAGTGTACCATAAAAATATCAAATATAATATTAACTAATTGTCCTCTAGAACATTAATTCTAAGTTGGATTATTTAAAGCTAGTGTGTAAAATATTGTTGATCATGTTGGTCAGTAAATGCATATAAATAAATTATCTTTTGAACTTTTGATTCAAATTATATTTTTCGAGAATTTAGATAATGATGTATTTGTATATTATTTTCAATTTCTTAATTCCCTCCAATGCTGAGAAAACTATCCAATCAAGTTGAAATCAGCAAATCGTTTTATAAAATATCACCCTTAGGCCTTGGGATATTATATAAGGATTTAAACCATTCATTTATTCTCAACATTCGTTACTGTTACTCTTAGGACAATGTGGTGGATTAATTGTACAAATATTGTACTATTAAATAATTAAATGAAGAAATCAGACTTTGAACATAAGCAAATTATAATAGGGAGAACTTGATGTTGGCATGATATATAATAACATTCTTTCAACAAAAATGGAAAGTACTTTGTTTTCAATTAAATTAATTGAAAACATTTAACAAGCAATAGTGTTAAATCATTTATCGACTTCTCAACTAACACTAACTAAAATGTTGAGATTTAGTATCACTAGTATTCATAAGACACATCGTCTTAATTGTATAATCTAAAAATTATGCTCACGATTTAAAATTTTAGTAATTTCACAAATTTCAGGTTGCGAACACCATGTAATCATTTAATATAGGAAAAATTGTAGCAGATGTCCCAAACCTTTAAAATATTAGCAAGCTTTCTCCAAATCTTTAATTTGTTGCAACCGTCATCTCAAATCTTTTGAAATGTTGCGGTGGTGGCCCTTTTGGATGGTTTTTATCCAAATGTCTATTAGTTAACTAAGAAAATTGACTTTGACCATATTTTTAATATTTTTAAAAAGGTAAAATAGTAACTTTCCATTTATTACATTAAAATGAGTTAGAAATTAAATTTAAAAAAATAAGAAATAAGAAAAAAAAAATTTTTAACCACTCATTTTTCGAAAGAAAAAAAATACTATTCCACCTACTTTCATTTCAAAAAAATAGGGCCAAACGGGAGTATATTTCTCCAATTCACTATTGAATTGGTTGATGAATATATTGCAAAATAAATGCCACAAGAGTTCATTGGGGCACAGTAATGAAAATCCAACTTACTGCATGATCCATAATATTTTGGATTTATCTTTAATAACGTAATCCAATTTAACTAACGGCATAAATTTCTTGACCCCGTTGCAAAGAACCCGAGTCTCAGATTTAAAACCTCTTAGAAAAAAGAATTCCGGCAAAAAAAAAAAAAAAAAAAAAAAAAAAAAACCATCGTCTTCTTCTTCCCACCCCCACCCCACCCCCAAAATCAGTTACCGACCACCGCCACCTCCACCTCCACTAGTCATGTGAAACTACATTCCTGATAAAAGAACTCCATTAAACCCAAATCCATATAATATTTAGAACCAAAACTCATTTCAATTTACTCATAATTACACAGGAGAAGCACAAATTTCCACTTAGAATATAGATTCTTCAAGGACCAAATGTTACCAATATTTGTTTAGAAACCCAATAGAAAACATACAGTTTGACTTCAAAATAAACAAGCATGAACTAGGCTAGAATAGAAAAATCTTGAAATCAGCCCCAAATTCTAACCTCAGCTCAAATTCATTAGTTTAAGCATGAATGCGGGTTCACTGTGGCGATGGAGGTGGCGGTGGTCGGTAACTAATTTTGGGTTTGAGGTGAGGTGGGGTGAGGAGAAGAAGACGATGGATTTTTTTAAATTTCTTGTTTCTTATTTTTTTAATTTAATTTCTAACTTATTTTAATGTAACAAAAGGAAATTTACCTTTTCAAAAATATTAAAAATATGGTCAAAGTCAAATTTCTTAGTCAACTAATAGACATTTGGACGAAAATCATCCAAAAGGCTTTTCGCCGTAATGTTTCGAAAGGTTTGAAATGATGGTTGCAACACATTAAGGTTTGGTTGTAGTCAAGCTCCCTTCTGCCTTTGCACTCGAGGGCCAATCTCCGTCCGGCCTGTAGCTTCCCGCCTCCTTCGGTGAGAAGTTCCCTTCCCTTTTTTAAAGTGACTGATTGGTCTACAACACAAGTTCTTGGGGGACATCGCCATGGCCGACATCCACAAGTAATCCTTCAAACTTGAACACTCAAGAAATTTGTTGGGCAGGTGGATTCACATCTTTTACAACCAACATAGTCCTCAGTTTGCTAATGTTTTAAAGGTTTGGGGTCTCTGCTGCAATTTTCCCTTTAATATATGTATAAATTTATTATATACAAATAATATTTAGATAATCAACCTGAAGGATAATGAAGCCACATTTAT